TTTTGAAACTAATATTATTTTTTATTTGAGAAGGAAGTCAATTCCCTCCACAGAGGTTACAAGCTTTTCCTAAACGTTTAATGTTATTGTAGGTAAGCGAAGATCAGAATAGAATTGTTCGGCTTATTTTGAAATATTCAAATTTACATTTTCATATTAGAATTTGAGTAGCGAATAAATTACCATTCTCTGAGTATATCTAACTCTAAGCTACAACAGAGTATAGTCGGTTATTCTATTAGTACATACGCACATTTTGTAATACAAAATACAATACATCAATACACCAAAAGCACTGATGTACCTCATGCCTTTGACTAAACTAAGGCGTGTCGCCGGAAACTACTTTCACTGGGATACACTTTTCTTAGCGAATATCTTAATTTTACTTGGCTTCAAACTCGCAAAAACCTTCTCTTAACGACCTTTTGGTGTCAGGGAACTAACCAAGATTGATAAAAAAATAATACAGGGTCATCATTTAAAACGGTATATAAAATCTGAATAACTTTGCCGTTCACAAACTGATTGACTTGTTTCGGAAACGTAAATTCAGTATAATTAAAATTACCCTACCATAGACCTTACCACTCAGAGTGCTCGAAAAATTACTGGAATTTGCGGCAAGAAGGAGCTCATTTTGCCACAGTTGATAAAGTCGGACACTTGATTGATATTATAATAAAAAAATTAATCGGAATCAATAGCAAGAGGCAAGTTTAAATAACAACACTACAAGTACAAGAAATTGTAGCGAATTAACAATAATTTTAAAATGAAAACAACCAATTCATTTTACTGTTAAAAATTATTATATTTTTTTTTAACAAACCAACGAAAAGGTGACGCTCCCTGTATTTAATAAATAAGAGTACAAAATTGTTGGTAAAATATTCTTTTACATAAACTAATTTCCTGTAGTCTTGCATATGGGAGTAAACTGGCCAAGCCAAAAGTAAAAAAAAAATAATAATACTGTACACAGTTAGGTTTTTGGAATGGTAGCTAAGCCGGGTCATATTCAAATGACTGTTTCACAAAAAGGCGCAGAAGCAAAGTTTGGTGAAAGTAAAGCTACAGTCAGAAGTTATTGAAAGAAAATATATATATATACAATTTATAATACAATAATATAAATGTAGAGAATTTTAGTGATACCCAGGTGAGTTGTTATTATAATGCTCGTCTAAGAGGTTTGGGAGAAAGGTGTTGGCCACAACTGCTTAGGTAAGCGGGGATGGAAAATGCAAAACAGATAAGATTGAAAAAATATTATGTAAATATATATATAATATATATTTAACCGCTGAAGCGATTTCCGGCCGAGCTCCTCCTCCAATTACTGGTTTTGTGACTTGCTGCTTCACCAACCAATTGAGGAACCAGAAATCGCAAAAATGGTGCAGAACGTATTTCTTCGATCCCAGAGATCGCAATAAAATTACTTCTCATTTTAGCAGTGTGGGATCGCGCGTTGTCATGATGTAAAATGGGCGCCGCAAATCCTCTCTCTTCCTCTTTTCTAATAAATTTTTGGAAAACCTTTAGTAAGCACTCTTTGGTGTACAATATTGCAGTTACCGTCTGACCTTCTGATCCTTTTCCAGCGTTGGCACTCACGCCCAATCGTGGGCCTTCGTCAATTTTGGATTTCATTAGATCTATAGTGACGTTATCAGTGGAAGATTTTGGTCGACCTTCCCATGATTCGTCTTCCAAGGAAAAATATCCAGTCTGAAATCTTTGGAACCACTTAGAAATCGTGCTTAAAGACCTTGCAATCCTTTCATTTGCAATTTGGCATTCACTGAATATTTGTATTGGTTGTAAATTACGCCGAAACTCGATGGGAATCACTTGGCAAATTTCTATTAAATTAGTGGTGGAATTTCATATGGCCTATTCTCACCTATCTGGCGGTTTCGCGTCTACGGCGTTTAATGGCTCCAAAGCCTCCAAAATACCAATTTCTATTTGATTTAATTTAAATCACAAGCGCTCTACTATGCTACCAACAAAAATTAACATGTCTTTCAGTTTCAAAAATGTAACAAAGTTACATTTCACTTTTAAAATACAAAACCTTGACAACGAAATTGTAAATGAAGGGCGAAGTGTCAGAGAATACAAAGCAAAGTGCCAAATTTGACGTGGAAAAAAGTTAAATGCCAAACTCAAAGTGTCAAAATGCTTCGCGTTTAAACATGAGCAGCTTACTAGTCCAGCCAGTATGTGCTATATGGTAATATGTCTACACGTACGTACATATACAAATATGTACATACATATGTATACATAATATTTGCTTGCCAAAAACTGATTTAAGTCAACACAACAACAACACAACCGGGTGATAGTAAATTTCGCGATTGTCTGAATTGTCAGAAAATAGGAAAAGGTATTAAAAAAAAATCAATGCCAAGGCAAAAGCGCAAATGAAGCACATTGACATTTGAAAGCGATTTTAAATTACGGTTGACACTGAAAAACCAAACGCAGCTGCGGAAAAAATTGCTTTTTTTTCTGATTTATTGCTGTTATTGCTTTTTTTCTTCAATTATTATTGTAATATAAATATTTTTCATTTTCTCTTTTTTTATTTTTCATTTATGCTATTTTTCCCCCTTCTTCCTTGCTCCTGAATTTTTATTACTTTTATTTTTGTGTTAAATTTTTTTTACTGATTTTTTATTTCTTATTTATTTTATTTTTCAAAGGATACATTTTTGTCGCATTTATTGCCAAATGGCTCATTAAAGCCAGCCACGCTATTAGCCCGTATTGACAGTTGGACATGCGAGCTGCCAAATCAATTTCAAACAATTTTTTTTTTTCATTTGTTGCTTTTATTGTACACACATCCATTATACGGGTGTCCAGCGTACTATTGTATGTATTTATATGGGTGTCTAGCAGTTAATTTTTAAATGCATCAGTTACATGCCATTCATTTTACGCTGATTGCGGACTGTTGGTACGTGATTTAGTTCCTGAGGAATTTGTAATGGATCGTTTATGGTTATTTGGTAATTACATGTGTACGAGGTGTGACCAGAAAGTATTGAGATTGAATATATAGCTGCGATTGTGGTAACCCTGCAACCTTGAAATTCCCTTCTCCTTCTCCCGGCATCCTCCTTCTTTCCATTGATATATTTGCCATCGCTCTAGCTAGTTTAGTTCGTGTTGAGTAAACGTGTGTTCGTGGTGCTCGTCACGAAAGTGGAAAACGAAATCAAGAGCAAATTGCAGCGATAAAATCTTGCTCCAAATTGGGCGAAACAATATCGAAACGTACGCTAAAGGCGTAAAAGTACATGGTGATAGTGCTCTTAGTCGTGCCCAGGTGTTGCGATGGCATAAAAAGTTTAAGCGTGGAAGACGATGCGCGCGAGTCGAAGGTGAAAACGATGATTGTTCCTTTTTTTTGATAGCCGTGGAATGGTCCACAAAAAATTTCTTCCACCGGGGCGAATCGTAAATAAAGTCTACTATCGCCAAGTTTTCGAATGATTATGAAAACAAATCAACAGGGGGCGCCAAGACATCGGTCGTAGCTGGTTCCTTCATCACGACAATGCGCCGTGCCACACCGCCCTCAGCGTTGCCCAGTATTTGGCCTCTTAAGGGATCGCCGTGCTGTAACAACCGCCTTATTCGCCCGATATGTCACCCTGTCACTTTCATTTGTTATTTAGACCAAAATCGGTGATCGAAAGAATCCATTTTGAGTCGATTAAGAAAATCTAGGCGGCCGTGACGAGGGTATTCGCAGACATCCCAGTCTAAGCGTTCTAGTAATGCTAAGAAGCATGAAATACGCGCTGGAATCGCTCTATAGCTGCCCAAACAACTTTAAAGGGATGGCAGATTTGTAGAATAAATTTGAAGTATACGGTTTTTATGGAATCACTCTCATTAATTAATTGTCACACCTAGTATGTATATACAGACATACTTTATATGTAGCCGCGGTAATAGAAAGGTTAGCACCGCGAACTGCCATTCGGAAGGCCCGGGTTCAAATTCTGGTACAACCAACAAAAAAAAAAAAAGTTGAATTTTCTACTTGCGTTCGCCCCTGCAAGGAATGTCAATCCCTATTTCTAACATGAAAATCAAAAGCTTCTCATAAAAATCCATCAGCCTTTTGGAGGCTGCTTTGCAAAAACCGTTGACGGTAGATGTGGTGACTCATTCTGGGCCATATGAGAATTTGAATTACTTTATGAGGTTACCAAAAAAGTCATCCATCTGTATGGTATGAGTGAGACGCTGGAATACCAACTCTTCTTGTGAGCGGTCTTATATAGAACTTGCCTTGATATCTATGAGCTTTGCAGTTCAAAGGACTAAATGAAGTATCAAAATAAGAAATCAAAGCTCTCTTAAGTTTGAACTACATTGAAGCTCCAAGTGGCGTTAGAAAGAACCGGTATTTCTATGTATAGCGTGACAGCCAGCCTGTATAACCCAGTCTAGTTTAATCGCCATGAATTGTAAATAATGAGCATGCACATCGTAAGGAAATACATTTTTTAAAGGCTGAAAAATATAGAAACTCTCAACTTCGTATTTTGGAGAGCGCTACCCACTTAGATTTTCTCCATATTTTCGGTATGGCACTACCTCTTAGTATTTCATTAGAAGACTGTTCTTTGCTTTTTCGTGCCATTGGTTATATTTGAATTAATTCTCCTTCTCTCTTGCGACGATTGCTAAGCCAGAATTGAGAGCCCACACAGCAACCACAGGCAACAGATCATTACAACAGAAAAACCCATCACATCAACTTGTCTTGTCATATCAACATATATAAGATTTGAGAGCAAAAGGACGTAGCATTTACTGGATGAATGAATTAGGAATATTCAGACGGATTGGAAATGAATAATGAGCGCCGAGTTGGTACTGAAGTCCATATATAGAGAAATAAAAGTTAAGTTTAGGGGTTATAATTATTAAAAGTTTATTTAAATATTAGTAGATACATTTTCCAAATTAAATTCACTTTACCGCAGAATCTTCAAAAAAAAAAACAAAGAAGAAATTTGATTGACCTCACTTCAGGTCGACAAACTTAAATTTCAACGGTATCGCCGGCGCGCTAATAAGATGATATTTAAATGCGTTCTTCGTTGAATGATTGAACTCGATTTCAAAATTGCGCACCAAATTACCCAATGTCAATTCCATTTCCAACTCGGCAATACGCCGGCCAACACAACTACGCGGCCCAAAACCGAATGGCAGATTTATAAATTTATTCACATTTTCAGCTAAAACACGCTCGCCGTCAGCAGACACCGCATCCGACTTGCGTAGCCAACGTTCGGGTATGAATTCACGTGGACGTGGAAAGAAAAGCGCCTCATTCGGCAGCATATTGGAGCTAATCAGTGCGGAAGTGCCTTTGGGTACGCGGTAACCGCTCAGCACAAGATCTGCGCCAGTTTCGCGCACATTACCAAAAGCAAGAGGATATATACGTAAAGCTTCTTTGATGCAAGCGCGTAAATATGGTAAGTTCTTCATATTTTCAACGGTGAAGCGTTCATGTTTGTTTGGCAAAACAGCCAACAGCTCCTCGCGCAACTTCTGTTGCTTTGTAGGATTCCTGGCGATGCAGAGTAGAACGGCAGCAAGTGCGCTGGAAGACTGCCGGAAGTAAATCGAAATAATTTTTTTTTTTTTGAAATTTTATATACTCACACCATCCACTGCAGCCGTTAGCATATCTATTGCCATCACAATTGCCGTTTTTCGATTAATTTTCAATAGCTTTTCCAAAACGCTACGCTCTTCACCTTCTTTCGAAGGATTTTTCTCTAAACGCTCCAAAGCAGCGTTTACATAACGATTTGTCACATCGAACATGAGATCCATAGACTTGGCGAAGCGCTTGTAGGTGGGTGTTTGTATGTATTTATAGAATGATGGCTTAATGCCCAAATCGTAAATTGATTTCAAAAATGCGCTCATATGCTCACAAAGCACTTTTGCCTCGGCGCAATCGGGGTTTCTGCGTAGCAAGCCGAATTCGTGATCCAAGGCGACTACAGCGACGGAGTCAAAGGCAAGATGATTAATGTCTTCCAAAAAATTTTCAGGCACCTCCAGCGTAAGCGGATCGCGAATTTCACGTATTCTGTAGAGATTAGATTTGCATAAGATGTGTATGTGTGTAGATCGAAATTGCTTTTCAATCAATTTTAAATCTTCATTTTACCTTTCAATAAATTCCAAATTCACCTTTTGCAATGGATCCAAATATAATTTGGCATTTTTCGGCTGCATTAAGACCGGATTGACTACGTGCCGAAATTTAGCCCATTTTTCACCACTATTTCGTTGCAGGAAAAATTTTTGTATTGAGTGTTCGAAAGAAAGTTTTAAATAACAATAAAATAACTATTACTTATCATTCAAGCCCAGGGTTTCCGCGAAAAAGCCATCTTTCCTGTTTTCTCGATAATATCGCACCGCATCGGTTCCTGGCCTATTGGGCCAAATACCTTCGGTGCGATAAACTTTTTCAAAATCATTTACATTGAAGAGCACAACAGAATCTGGTTGGCCAATCACGCCTGGCATCCGGTAAATATCACCGAAACGTTCGCGACATTTGAAGAGGAAATCATTGAGCGAGAGATCAACAAACTCACCTGAAGGTGAAAGGAAAAAAGTGAATTCAAAAAATTGCATAGTAAATCAAAATTTTAAAACTATGGGTATATATGTATATATTCCACTCACCTCCCTTCAGGAAACCGCGCAGCATTTGATATCTGGACAGTTTAGGCATTGATTTATAAGGCAATGCTTGTTGCCACTCCAAATCGAAGACACTATTTTCTGTCTGAATTAAAGTTTAAATATTTTTTAATATTAAATTTAAATAAACAAGAATTATATATAGTTATTTTAAAGCTATCGTGTATATTAAAAGTCCTCTTGACAATTACATCTTCTTCTTCCTCTTTATTGATGTGGACACCGCTTAAAACAGCACGCCATTCATTCTTTTTCGCTGTTTGGTGCCAATTGGAAATACCACGTATGACGGAGTGGACGTCTATTTCTTCCTCTACTTCCGCCGGTTGGTACTGCATCGAAAACTGTCATGGATGGAGTATTCTTTTCCATCCGGACATTATGACCAACCCAGCTTATCCGTGGTCTTTTGATTTGCTGTACTATGTGAATGTCGCCGTGTATTCCATCGTCCATAACCCCCACCATATATTGGGTCGGGAATCATGAGTGACTTGTACAGTTTGGTCTTTGTTCGTCGAGAGAGGACGTTACTTTTCAATTGCCTGTTGAGGACAATTAAGTCGATATCATCGGCGTACGCCAGCAGCTGTACACTCTTACAGAAGATTGTACATTCTCTATTCGGCTGTGTGGCTTGTATTATATTCTCCAGCAACACCTGTCGACGAAGAAATGGTGTGTTTCGATGCTCCTTTGTCTGGTCTTTTTCAAAAATTTCATCCGAGGCGTGTTATAACTTTTGATCAGGGCTGCTTTCTACGCGATGGGTTCTAAACCCAGCGTATAACCTCGCTAGGCTAGTAAGCTAATTTTTTTCTTTACATATTTACATAGCGAGCCGCTTGAACCCTTGAACCGAATAAGGCGGAGTGGCTCCACTGAAACCTCCTCTTTTAGCCGTGACTCTAGGTTTCACTCGGTTGGTTAGCTCACCATGCACATGGTGTGCTGGTGTGCGATGGGGACGCAAGAGTAGGAATTGAGTATAGCCTGGCAACTGTAATAGCTTACCCAGAAGCTTGGCTAGACTTAGAAACTAGCAGTGGCGCCAGCAATAGTGGATAGTAGTATACTATACACTACATGTTCTGGGCCTACCAACATCCAAAGTCTTAGCGCATTCATTTAAATAGAAAACTTAACTAAATTCAAAAGAGGGGTTCCTCATAGAGAGTATTTTGGAATAAACGGTAGGTCCTTCCATTTGTTGGAAAACTTCAAAATGCACAACACAATTCGGAGAATTATATATTGTGCAGGGTAGTGAGTGAGCAAATTTGACGCTCCGATTGGATCATTGATAAATACAATTCTAACAGTGTTGATGGAGTGGGAAAAGGTGTTTCTTATGTACCGACTACGAATACTTAAGAAGAGACATCTTTATCTTCAATGATAGTTATGTCGCAATAAAACCTCTTGTCAGAAACGTAGAGAAGAGCTGCAGTGTAGACGAAGTTGCAGAATACCAGCAGACGTATTGTTCCAGATAAGGAACGCATTGACATACCTCAAGTCATAAATCGTAAGCAAAACTTGGGCAGTTGAGTTTTTCGTTTGATTGCCTCAGTACGTTGGGAGCGCTCGTCAAAGATGGACACCAGCAAAGAGACAATTCGCTATATTTTACAATTTTTCTCTGATCAAGCGGCTGAAAAATTTTATTTAGTTTATGGGCCTGATACTGTAAACGAACGTGTAGCACAAAAGTGGTTTGCTAGGTTCCGTTCTGGTAATTTTGATGTCAAAAATGCACCACGCGTCGGGACGCCTGTCGTCGAAAATTGCTATAAAATCATGGAAATAGTGGAAACAGACCGTCACGTGAGCACTTATTTAATTGCTGAGGAACTAAAGATAAGCCACAAAACCGTTTGGAACCATTTGCATAACCTTGGATTCAAAAAGAAGCTCGATGTTTGGGTGTCACACGAACTAACGCAAAAAAGCCTGATGCACCGAACTTCCATATGCGAATCGCAACCAAATCGACCCGTTACTGAAAGGGATTGAGACTGGTGATGAAAAATGAGTCGCTTAAGGCAACATGGAGCATAAACGGTCGTGATCAAAGCTCGGGGAAGCGATCCAGACGGTGGCCGAAACCGCATTGACGGCCAGGAAGGTTTTGCTGTGTGTTTAGTGGGATTGGCAAGGAATCATCTACTACAAGCGGCTCCCCTATGGCCAAACGCTCAATTCGGCCCTCTAATGCCAACAAATGGACCGCTTGAGGCCAGAAGAGGCCATCTTTGATCAACAGAGGCCGAATTGTGTTCCTTCAGGATAACACCAGGCCACACACGTCTTTGGCGACGCGCCAGAAGCTCCAGGAGCTCGGATGGGAGGTCCTAATGCACCCACCTTATAGTCCGGACCTGGCTCCAAGCGATTACCATCTTTTCCTGTCCATGGCGAACGCGCTTAATGGTGAGAAATTGGCATCAAGAGAGCCCTATGAAAATTGGCTTTCCGAGTTTTTTCGCCAATAGGGACGCAGCCTTCTACGAGAGGGGTATAATGAAGTTAGCATCTCGTTGGCAACAAGTTTACGAGCAAAACCGCGCATATTTGACTTAAAGCGGACAAATGTACACAAAATTATAATATTTTTAAAACTCAATAAAAAAACCGAACGAACTTTTTACTTGACCTTATATATCTGTAAAGTGAAGTTAGTGTAGTGTGTATTAATACCAAGGTGAATGCTTGACTCTCAAGCGAATTATTAGATATTGAGAAATGTGTAAAAATTGTTTACATCATTTAACAATTGAATGATCAAACCCTGGAAATTCGGGTGATAATCGCGCTTATTTTACATAATATGTGGACAATATTAGGCGACTCTCTTCAATTTAGCAAATGTGCGTCATCTTCGTCTGCCTAATGAAATGTAGTGTAGGATAGTGTGAGAGGGAGAGAGGGAGAAAAAGTAGCATACCAATCAAAGTAAAAACTATTTATGCGTCTAAATCTTTAATACAAAATATCACACAAAAACGAGACTAATTAACTTTGTTCACGATAAATTATAACAAATAACTTACATATATTTTTACTCATTCACTCACTTTCGCATTGCTGACTGTAGAGTATTTTGCACATTGATATTTCTGTAATTGTTGTTGTTCTCCACTAAATAAACGCAAGCGTGTAACAACTGTGCCGGCAACACGTGAATTCCAAAGTGTTGACATTATCGAAAGAGACGAAGTAATTCTCTATTCTCTGATAAAATTCTCAAATAGTAAACAAATAAACTGGAGAAGTTTTGCACAAATGAAAGAATGTTTAGAAATTATTTTTGAATGCGTATCGTTTGAGCTTTAAAACAACACTGATCTACTTGTATGTATGGTAAGAGCTGAGCTATAAATGGACGTGAAAACAGTCATTGCAGTCAATTTATAATCTAAACAAATTCTAGTGCAGTGCCTTAGAATTTAGGAGGGTGAAGAGAATAAACGAAATAAATATTTTAAAATTAAATATTTCATTTTTCCAAAATCTAAATTAACATTTCGAAGTGGGAATGCAACAGCCGCCCACTTTCGCATTTGACAATTTTTTCAAATAATATAATATCGTGTTTTACTAATTTTTTTTTGATCTTCTGAGAAATAATATATTCACTATAACTTCTTTTCTTCGTTCTACTGAAAAGTTAGCATCCATTACTTGGAACATATTTCAAAAATAAGACTCATTCTACTTAACACCGCTGCATACGCATCCACTTAGAGGGAGAATGCATATTAGAATCCCCCATAAAGATATTTTGCATGCTTGCCTTGAAAGATAAGTGCTGAATATGTAGAAATGTGAGTATCTATATATAATTTATGTTTTCATATATATAGTATATATATACGTATAACTGGCGCTTCATAACCGCTGAAGCGATTTTCGGCCGAACTTCCTCCTCCGTTTTGTGTTATGGGTATTAATGTTTCCCAACAAATGGAGAGGTCTATAGTTTATTCTAAGTCATCTCAACGGCTGATGGATTTTAACTTTTGAGATGCTAATTTATTTTTCGTCTGAAATACGATTGAAGGGATTGAATTTTGCTGTCGAGGGGCTATCGCATTTAGTAAAATTAATTTCGTATATTTGTAAAATTTCATTATTTTGGATTTGAACCCATGAATCTGTACATAGTAGTATGCACTGTTAAACACTCGGATACTTTGGCCGATTGTATGCACGAGTACATACTCATACAATATTAATTAATTGTAAATAAACACAACTAATATGCATATGTACTTATAAAGGGTGGGGCATTTCAAGCAATTTTAAACTTTGTGTTTGAAGCTAAAGAATGGTTTTAGTTATATAACTGACTACCAAATTGTTTGGTGAGTGAAATTTTCAACGCGTAAATTTTCTGCATGAGGATTGCCCATATCTCGAAATATCGAAATCCTCTATTCAAACACCTATTTTTTGTTTTCAGTGAGACATGCCACATTTTGCACCCTGTACATCTATAATTGCATATGCGATATTAAATCTTTCTAAGAAGCACTGTACACAAAATAGTTGTTGTTGTAGATTGGGTAAATAAAACTGTACAAGTTCATTCATGCACAACTATTTAATGATATCACCGTTTGGAATCAGTGCTTTATCTTAAATGGGCATGACTATGCATAAAATATAACAAAATGGAATAAGATTAAGCAAAAAGTAGACTAGAATAGATTAAAAAATAATCAAAATAAAATAAAATAAAATAAAATAAAATAAAATAAAATAAAATAAAATAAAATAAAATAAAATAAAATAAAATAAAATAAAATAAAATATAATAAAATAAAAAAATTAAGTTAAATAAAACAAAGTAAAGTAAAATAAAATTATATAAAATAAAACAGAATAAATAAAAATATAAAATGGTCCGATTTTCGCTAATTACTGTGGGAATAACATCCTAAATATTGCATATAAGGTACTATCGAGCATATTGCGTGAAATTCTAGAGGCTACTGTCAACAATCTGATTGCGCCAAATCTTGTAAAAGACCCATGAAAAGAGAATCGACACACCCCACCTCTTCCTCGATTTTAAAAGAGCTTTCGACAGCATGAAAAGGTGCTGTCACTATGTCTGAATTTGGTAACCTGCAAAACTTATACGGCTATGACAAGTGACCTTAAGTTACATTTAAAGCTCCCTTAGGATAGGGTTGAACCTTTTGAACCGTTCGATACCAAACGAGGAACGAGAAACTCTACGTGATTTTTTAAAATTATTGCTGGAGAAAATAATAAGAGCTCCAGAGAGCTGAATATAGAATGTTCAATGTTCAATAAGAGTGTGTCGAAGGCTAAATTCTACAAGTAGTTCATCGTTCCCGCCCTGCTATATGGTGCAGTGTCGAGAAGGATAACCACATCTAATGAGTCGACATCAGGAGTTTTCGAGAGAAAAGTTTTACGAAAGATTTGCGGTTCTCTACGAATTGTGAACTTCGAAACTCAGTCCGTTTGTTCTGACTTTTAGCAGATTAAGGCGTGCAGCATCTTGGCAATTACGGCGCCTATTTTGCATGCGACGGATGTTGGCCTTCAACTCGAGGAAATATATACTAGATGAAAAGAATTATCAAAACTATTTTCATTTGGTAGAAGTATGTTTTAATATTTTTTATTTTTTCTTAAATAAAATTCTTATAATATTTAATAATTCAAATCAGTGAATTTGAATTTTAAGGGGATTTGTGGAACATTTAAGAAATGATTAGCAAACGCATTATCCGTTGAGTAATTGAAATCGATTTGGAAATGACGCACCACATTGCTCAATGTTATTTCCATTTCCAAGTCCACAATACGCTTGCCCACACAACTGCGTGGTCCAAAGCCGAACGGCAAATAAATAAATTTATTCAAATTATCAGCCATTAATTGTTCACTCTCAGTCATAGCTTCATCCTGTTGGCGCAACCAACGTTCAGGTATAAACTCTTGAGCACGAGGGAAAAAGCGCTCCTCATTCAAGAGCATGTTAGAGGTCATAAAGACACGTGTACCCTTGGCTACACGATAACCGCTCAAAGCCAAATCGGCGCCCGTCTCACGCATGTTGCCAAAAGCAAGTGGATAAATGCGTAAAGCTTCCTTGATGCAAGCGCGTAGATATGGCAAATTCTTCATATTTTCAATGGTGAAGTGTTCGTCTTTGTGCGGCAACACTTTCAAGAGTTCTTCACGTAATTTCTGTTGCTTTTGTCGGCTTTTAGCGATGCATAAGAGTATGGCGGTGAGTGCTGAAGATGTCTGTGGAAAAAGGCGAAGCATTATTGTGTATATTCAATTCAGATAATTGCACTTACCGTATCTACGCCAGCCATTAGCATATCCATAGCCATTATGATAGCAATTTTACGATCAACTTTCAACAGCTTCTCCAAAACACTGCGCTCTTGGCCCGCTTTAGCCGGGTTGCGCTCTAAACGCGCAAGTGCCTCATTTGCATATCGATTTGTTATATCAAATATTGTATCCATAGATTTTTCAAAGCGTCTATAGCTGGGTGTTTTGATATATTTATATAGTGACGGTTTCACACCAAAATCGTATAACGCGTTCAGGAATGTGGTCAGACTGTCGAATAGCAATCGGGCTTCCTTTGAGTCGGGATTCTTGCGTATCAAACCGAATTCGTGATCGAGTGCAACAACGGCGACGGACTCGAAGGAGAGTCGATTGATATCAGAGATGAAATTGTCGGGAACTTCAAGTGTTACTGGATCGCGTATATCACGAATTCTGATTAAGTGGGGATAAAAAAATTGGAGAAATTTTCGAAATACAGTTTTTTTTATAATATTTTTTTATATTGCTTATTATGAAATGTTGTCGAATACATTTTTTAAAATAAAAATGCTCTCAAAACTACAACTTGTAAAATTAAATCAACCCAAATATTAAATGCTGCTTAACATAAAATTTCTACATTAAGGATCAAATATTGATTTCATTGCTAAACTAAAAATATAAAAAAAAATTCTAAAGATAACATTTTGGTTGGTATAAAATGTTGGTATACTATGTTGCGAAGCATGAAAAGTTCCTAAGTATAAAAAGTCGCTCCACATTCAATGTTGCTAAACATAAATATTTGCTACCAATACAATGTTTCAATATTGTTGTAAAAAGTTGCTAAACATTCAATAAAAGGTTATCCAAGCATAAAAAGTTGCTAAGCATTCAGGAAAATGTTGTCAAGCATAAAAAGTTGCTGAACATTGAATAAAAGGTTGTCAAGGATGAGAAGATGGTAAAAGTGGTTAAATATAGGAAATATATTTTTCTTAACGTCAAATATTTTTTTAAAATAAAATAGTGATAAAGAGGAAAATAAATATTACTACCTTTGTATAAATTCCGAATTCACCTTCTGCATGGGCTCCATATAAAGTTTAGCATTTTTCGGTTGCATTAGAATGGGATTAACAGCATGGCGAAATTTGCCCCAATCCTCCCCACTAAAACAAAAAAAAAAAAAAACAAAATAAAAATTAATTATAATTTAAATAAATCAATGAATTTTTAAATTTTAATAAATGACTCACTGTGCCGTAAGTCCCATCGTTTCATTGAAGAAACCATCTTTACGAGAACTCCGATAATGCAAAATAATTTCACCACCTGGACGTACAGGCCAAACGCCCTCCGTACGATAGACCTTCTCAAAATCGGTCAAATTAAACAGCACAATCGATGGTGGCTGACCAAAAATACCAGGCATGCGGTAAATATCACCGAAGCGTTCTCGACACTTCAGGAGTAGATCATTCATCGAGAGGTTTGCGAAATCTCCTGTGGCAAAGAATGTGCAAAAATATGATTGGTTTTTCGAAAAAAATACGTACATTTTTATTGCATGTACATATATGAACTCTTGATATTCCGGCTTACCGCCTTTCATGAAGCCACGCCACATCTGAAATCTGGTCAGACCCGGTATGGCCTTGTATGGCAGCGCTTGTTGCCATTCAGCATCTAATATGTCCACATATGATTTGTTGTCAACGTTGGGCGGCTAAAAGGAAGCATTTGGAATAAATTAAAATATTAAAAAAAAAAAATGTTTGAGTTTTAAGTGCTTTCGTGCTTTAAGAGGATGGTGCAAATACTCAATATCTTTTATACCGAATAAACTTACTGTCGGGTGTGATTGGAGCTTACTTTTTTGAAACCTACAACGGCAGTGTCTTTATTGTCACTTGGGAGCTTTATGGTCGTATGATAACCGACTGTTTTTAGCCTACAATTGAGGAACACGATTTGGAAAATATATTGTTTAAACAAGGTGGTGCCACATGCCACACTACACGACCAAATATGCCTTAATTGCGAGAAAAATTCGTCGGCCGAACAATCTATCGTCATGCCGATGCCAATTGGCCATCGCTAACGAGCGAGAGAGCTTGTCTTTCTTTTCTTTCCTTCTGTATTACCTTGACATGCACTGCTGTTGATTGTTGCACAATTTGAGTCCGTATTGGGTATTTCTGATTTAGTTGTTGTCGTTGTCCGCGCTGTTTACCGTCGTTCATGTGCCGCCATAGCATTGGGACAGCTACTCTGCGTGTATTTTGCACTGACAATAACATTTTTACAAAGGACTTGCGTATTTTCACAAAAAAAAACCCAAAAAAATAAAATAAAATATATATATATTTTACAAGTGTTTGTTGGAGTAATGAAATTTTATAAATTGAATTGTTTGATGAAAACAAAGAAGCGTCTTTTTAGAACGTTGGAAAAAGAATAAACGAAGATTTCACAATATTGTGGTTCTTATTGAGCTCAAATTGAACTTAAAAAAGCTTTCAGTAAAGTAACTCTGAGTTGTTCAGTGGTGGGTCTTTATGGGGGGAGGGGGTCAAAAATGTGGAAAAATAGTAATTTGTAGGTTTTTTTGTGAAAAAATGGAATGAGAAAATACTTTTTGCACTTTCGTTCATTTAAAAAAAAGGCACTTTCAATAATATTTAGTTAATTCTGCAATGTAAAAATATTTGTCATATTAGCCGGCGACGGAGCTCTAGTCAGAACGTCTTTAAGCCCTTGCTGACAACTATAGATATTTCAAACAATTTAAGCGGCGGATTAAATTCTTAAATATTTTTTCTTTTTTTCTTTCAAAGAGAAAGCTAAAGAATATTTTGTTGCTTAATCGTACTGGAAGAAATTAATGAGTAGCTCCCCATCAAACCTAAGCCTATGGCAATGCTTGATTGTTCTCGGATTTTTAAGAAAAAAGACTTAACTTCAAAACTGTTCGTTAACAAAGTATTACTCGCTAAAAGTGTTTTAATTCAATATTTGTGTTCACCCCAAACGCGTAATATTATCAGAGACAATTGAAGCAATATTTAATCATCAAAGATAACAACGAATATTTAAGTAATACTTAAATAAATAAAGTATCAAAACTGCTGATTTTGCATTCTTTTGCGCTTTTTGTAATTAATCAAATTTGTTTCAAGTTCAGCGCACTTGAGTAGATAACGAAAAGCCCATGTAGTAAATGTAGACGTAAGATAACGGAATTGTTTTTTTGTTTGGGTAGGAATTTCATTTGTTGTCAAACAAATGAAATTTATTTACTTATTTACCACAAAAGCTTTTCAGCAGTTACATAAAATTGTGTGATTAACCCTTAGTTAGCTACAACATTATGTGGTGTGTCGCTTTAAGTATCTCAAAAAGACATTTGATTGTAAAGGGTAATTTTTTAGCCATTATCTTTTTGACAACATTGTTTTAAACAGCTGTGCTTTGTATCACTGTCAAACATCTTCAGTTTGGTCGTCTTTCAAATGAGCAACGCTTGCAAATTATTGAATTTTATTATAATAATGCATGCTTTGTTGAGAATGTTATCGACCGCTTCCTCCATTTTGTGTTCGAAGCTCTTTTTTGGCTTAATGGGTGCGTAAAAAAGCAGAATTGTAGATTTTGGAGTGAAGATCAGTCAGAAGCATTGCAAGAGCTAGCAATGCATCCAGAAAAAGTCACAGTTTGGTGCGGTTTATGGGATGGTGGCATCATTGGACCGTACTTCTTCAAAGATGATGCGAATCGTAGATTACATAAAACTTTTTTTTTGCCAAAACGGCAAGAGCTTGACTTGTATGACATATGGTTTCAGCAAGACAGTGCCGCATGCCACAAAGCACGCGTAACAGTGGACTTATTATTGAACGAGTTCGATGAACATTTTATTTTACGTTCGGGAACGGTCGATTGGCCGCCTAGATCGTGCGATTTAACGCCTTTAGACTATTTTTTGTGGAGCTATGTTAAATCTGATACAGACAAGTCCGCTTCAATTGACGCATTGGAGGACAGCACTGAAGCATTTATTCGTGAGATACCGGACGAAATGTTGGAAAGAGTATGCCAAACTTGAACAAAGCGGAGGGACTATTCGAGGCGCTGCCACCGAATGAAAAATAAGACCCTAAAGCACCTTTTTAAGTTAAAAAAAGTTTTTAAGTTTTTTTTTTTAAATTCTAAGCATTTTTCATCCTAATTATTTATTTCTATGTTTTTTTGTTTATTTTTTAACTAAACAGAAAGAAGAGTTGAGGTGTTTTAGCCAGATCTGTCTGTCCTTCTGTTTGTTGGCAAACTAGTCCTAGGGTTGTAGATGGTTTTAAGCTCAAATTATTACGAAGACTACTCTTCTCAATGGGTAGGATCGGAGACTGGCTTATTTTGAAAAACGCATTTTTGATTTGATTTGCTTGAAATTCGGTACGGTGGCCTTTGCGGTAAATCGTTTTTACATTTCTTTTTGCTTGAAATACTTTTCGCTTTCCTGAAAGTTGATCAATTTATATATATATATAAATATATATATATATATACAATGTTTGCTTTAGTTAGAGTTTTAGATGATATGCCTAAATGAAATACTAGTGTTTCCTGGAAATGGACCAGAGTTCTAGAATCAAGTTCAATTGGATCGAAATCTGAGCTTTCTGAAGGGAAAGGGAAAAACGTTAGTTGACAAATATTAGTATGCTTTGGATATAAGAATGGATCGGTATATGTAAAGGTAGTGATAAGTATTTTTATTATCTTGGAGCTACTGGTTCAGCTTGAGTTGGGAAAAGCCTAGATTCGAATAGTGCGTTTGGCTGACTTCATTGCTCGATAACTTCTGTATTTGATTGACATGAAAAGAAAAATACATAGATTCATGGAGTATTCCCAAATACCAAATTCGGCTATAGATATCATGGGCGGCTAAGTGAGGGATCCATCCTATCGCTACACACTTAGATGTCTACAATTTCGAAAAAATGTCGAGGAACCTGATAGAAGCAACAGCTATGATTTGTGGACCACATCTACATACGGATTGCTCCGCACATGGACAATTCTGAGATTGGCAGACCAGATAACCTTTTAATTTTCGTGGTCTATGGTTAAACCAAAAATGTTTTGAGTAAATAAAATTATGATGAAAAGATGTGAAATGTTTAATTTATCATACATTCATTGCCAATAGGGGTTTGAACGGTTTAAAAGTGGCAATTTCGACTTAGATGACGGAGAACGACCCGAACAGCCAAAAAAATTTCGAGATGAAGAATTGGAGACATTGCTCGACGCAGATGCACGCCAGACGCAAGAAGAACTTGCAAAAGTATTAGGAGTTCATCAGGCAACCGTTTCCAGATGACTAAAATCATTAGGATTCATATAGAAGCTTCTAAATCGGGTGCCTTATGAATTAAAGCCAAGAAACGTCGAACGTCGGTTCTGCATGTCGGAAATGTTGCTTCAACGCCACCAAAAGAAGTCATTTGTGCATCGGATTGTCACTGGCGATGAAAAATAGATTCATTATGATAACTCAAAGCGCAAAAGATCGTATGTGAAGCCCGGCCAACCATCGACATATACGACAAAGCCGAATATCTATGGTGCTAAGGTTATGGGTTATGCTATGTATTTGGTGGGGCCACAAGGGTGTGCTCCATTATGTGCTATTGAAATCGGGTCAGACGATCAATGGCATGATAATGCTCGGCCACATGTTGCAAGGCCACTTAAAAACTATTTGGAAAACTGTGGGTGGGAAGTTATGCCTCACCGCCTTATAGTCCAGACATAGTACCTTCCGATTAACATTTGTTCAGATCAACCCGGAGTACGCTTCACTTCAGAACAGGGTATCAGAAATTGGCTCGATTCTTTCTTGACATTCAAGCCGGAGAAGATCTTTTGGGATGGGATCCACAAAGTGCCAGATAGATGGGCAAACATAGTAGCTTCCGATGGGCAATACTGTGAACATTAAATATATAACAATTTGTTCACAATAAAGTCTTAATTTTCGAAAAAAACAGCACGAATTGATTTTTTATTTTATTTATTTACTTCATATTAAAATATTTATTTTGTTCGTTGTTAAAAAATAAGAAAACGTAAATATTTTATATAGAAAAAAATATTTTTCTACGAAAATTAAAATACTTCCGCCTCTGTCATTCGCCATAATTAAGTTTGTATGTACATAACAATATGTGCGCATGTTTGTAGTGTTGTATTCGCAGGAAAGAAAGTCAAATTTGGCAAACAACCAATCACTCAATCAATTGACAACACAATTTTACAGAACAATGTTGTTTTCATGTTTGCCCCAAAGCCAGCAACGTGCAACAAATGTTTGTTGTTTTATTGCTAATTTGTACGCGCAAGTTAACCGTTAAATTTCCACGTAATAGACATAAATCTAAATGGTGGTTAATTTGTATGTGATGAGTGCAGACCAGGCGATAGTGCGTGAATATGTAACAAATGCCAGCTTAACGGCCAACAACAACGACTTAAGCGGTTTATGAGATAAAAATGCCAATAGCTATAAGTGTACAAGCATCAGTTTTTTCTACAATACATATAAACAACCACAAGCAAATACAATATGGAGAAGTGAGTGCCCATAGATTAACGCAAATACTGTGAGGCAAGTAAATAAATTATAAAAAATGGATTTTATTTGCAACATAAAATCGAAAAGTGTGCTTCCGCATTTAGGCTTGCAGATAGAAACTTAACTCTCGGGGTACAAGGTGTTGACAAATGGCCACCTGTACAACGTGGGGTAAACAAAATTGTGGATTATGAAAACTTGATAAAGAAATATAAGAAAAAACATAAAAATATTCTATAAAGTCTTTTGAACAACTTTAATAAACCCAAAATAATATAAGAAATTGTTTTTTTTTTTAGCAATCTGGGACTCTTTTCTTATATTACAAGAATGTTGTAGAAACTTGGTATAATCAAACCTAAAATTATGATAGCTCTGAAGATAACATTTAAGATCATCCTAATCAATGCAATTATTGGCATATCATAATGGCATGTTTTCTCAAAATCGCTAAGTTGCACTTTATGCAACCATTGAGAGTCTTCCTGCCTACATTTCTCGTTGAAAAAGGTGTCAAGGTGGTTTTTGACGTCTTTAATATTTTTAAATTTTTTTCCATTCAAATTGTTCTGCAGCGATCGAAACAAATGATTATCAGAAGGTGCAATGTCGGGTGAATATGGCGGATGCGGAATGATTTCCCAATTCATCTCCTTCAGTTTGGTCAGGGTCGGTTTTGCAACATGTGGCCTGGCGTTGTCATGATGGAAAAGAACTCCTTTGCGATTGGCCATCAATTGCTTTTTTCAATTCGACCAATTGCTGACAAAACATGTTGGCAGTGATCGTTTCTCCAGCTGTCAAGAGCTCAAAATAAATCACGCCTCGGATAT